ATCAGATTGGGATCAAGCATGAGACCAGAACAGAGATGGCTGCGGCCACATAGCTACATGGCAGAGTTTCAGAAGAAGAATCTCTCTGAGACACGCTGACAAGCTGGCTGTCGTTTGAGTCAAATGAGCTTTAATTTCTTGAAGAAGGGGTTTCCCAGCAAGGGAGTAAAAAAGGTAGATAGTATTTACCACCTAGCAGAGGAATCATTGAGACAAGATTGCCTTTCCCTTCTTACACATCCCATAAGTGACAAACAGGTGAGGAGTCTTCTGGAACTGTTTTGTATAAGTGACATAGAATAAGAGTGCCCTTCTACTCTACAGTATGGAAGGCACACTCCAGGTCAGAAGATGGTGACTGCATGAAGATCAGAAGAATGTGACTGGTAGAGATAGAAAGCAGATGCTACCTTAGGGAGGAAGGAGATGTCCCTGGAGAGGACCCCACACTGTACTTAAGAAAACATAAGTAAGGTGAGTCCACCCTGAGTGCTGCTAATTTGCTGGCTGTATGAACAGAGATGATGGTGATAAAAAAGGCAACTCCCAAGTGAAGATTATAAATTGTCACGGGTTTGAAGGGGTGCACCATAAGCTTGGAGAGGACTAATGAGAGGTTCCACATAGGCAGCAGTCCTAAATTAGGATGAAAGTGTGTGTAACCCTTCAAAAAAGTCTTTGTGTTTGGATGCACCAATGAAGAGGGGGCATCTTGTGGCTTAGAATGAGCAAAGATGTCCACCAAATAGACCTTCAAGGAAGAACACGAGCAATGTTTGGTTTTCAGAGAATAAGGAAGCTAAGGACATGTTTGAGGGAGAAGTCATCTGGCACAACACCCTCACTTCACAAAAAAGACAGAAAGGAAATTCATTTTGACATATAAGAGTGTTTTGTCAACTGCTTGTGGACATTACTTCTGTGATGTTGTCCTAAAACTCTGGAGAAGGACTTGCCAAGTGGTTAGCCCGAGAATGACCACATCTGGATGGAGTATTCTGCCATGACGCATTGCAAAGTGGTCAGGATTCCTCGAGAAGCAGTAAAAGTTACTTCCAGACTGCCTGAGGAGACTGGAGAACCATGGTTGGCAGGGCCATCACAGGGTGATGAGAGTATAATTTGCACTGTCCTCCTCAATCTTTGTGATTACTCCAGAGAAGGGAAGAAAGCCATAAAGCAGAGGTCCATTGCATGAGAAAAGAAACAGTCCATGAGAAAAGAAACAGGGCTTTGGTGGCCCCTGTTGCAGAATTGAGTGCACTGGGCATTTGCTGAGGATTGAAGAAGTTTACTCTAGGTTTTCCTCAACAATGGAAGACACAGTGGAGGAGGGCTAGTCCATCTTCCCTTAATGGGAGGAGATCACTGTCTATACTTGGCAGATACACTACTCTGCAGATGCAGCAATTCAAGATCTGAAGGGTTAGCTGGACTAGGGTGTGAAAACGTGTTTCTCCTTGCTTGTTGAAGCAGAAGGTTACTGTTGTGTTGTCTGTAGCCACCTGAATGGTCCTGTAGCAAAAGAGTTTCTGGAAAGTCCAAAGGGCTTTCCACACAGTGAGCAAGTCAAGGAAGTTATATGATGTGACTTTTTCTCATCAGACCATTGTCCTGTGATTGGTCTAGGTCTAGGTCTAGGGTGTGGGTGCCCAACCCATCATGGACGTGTCTGTGATAAGCATCAGAGACCTCTCATGGCATTGGAGAGATCAGTCCACCAGGTGAGGGAACAAAGACCTGAATGAGGTACCAAGAAAAACATGTTTGAATTGTTCCAATCTGGATTGAAGTGATCTAAGAACCACTTTTGTAGTAGTCTCATCCAGAGTCAAGCAAAACAATGACTATAGTGGTTACAGCCATGAGACCCAGTATGACCTGAATAGATCTGGCCTTGGTGCATTAATTCTGTAAGAGCTTCTGCATCAATGTCTTTAGGGTAAGTCATTTATCCTTGGGTAGAAAGGCTTTGGACTTCAGGGAGTCAGGTACTGCCCTTGTGGACTGGATACATCAAGATGGATTCAGAGAAGACTTTCCCAATTTATCATGAAGCCCAGGTCCTGAAGAAAGTGGATATCTTGTAGGGCCTTGTGGAAAGATGGGGAGACTATCAGCCAGTCATCTAAATATAGGAAGACAGGGACTCATCTGATGCATACCCAAGCTGCTGCCATGGCTAGACATTTCATAAAGATGCTCGGGATTGTTGCCAGGCCGAAAAGAAAGATACAAAACTGATAATGTTCTAGCCCGACAAAGAAGCGAAGAACATGCCTCCTGGAAGGGTGGATATTGATATGGAACTACAAATTCTGTAAGTCTATCAAGGTGAACCACACTCTTTTGCAGAGGAGGGAGAGGATATTCAACAGAGTGACCATCCTAAACTGTTTAAAAGGTTGGAATCAGAGATGAGGATGGGTGTGGCTCTTGAGTGGGGACTGAAAGGTTCCAACATAGCTGAGTCTTGGCGCGGGAGAGATAAGCAGCCTGTTTATTCTTTTTCTTCTTGTTCTCCTCTGAAGCTGTAGAAGATGGACATTTTTCTCTCTGGAGTTGTTTCTTGAATGACTTACCTGGAGTGAGAAGAAAATCTCTGTGTTTCTGCACCTGGAAATAGGCTTAGAGGTTTCTTGTATTCTTCAGGGCCAAATGTGCCAGCAAACTGACTCAACAAGGAATCTGGCTCATGTTCCATACAGAAGATGATTGTGAGCCGACAGCCACAGAAGCCATATGAAGCAGCTTATTGCCGAGCTGCAAGGGCTGCAGTCTGGAGGGCTCCTTACAATTGGAGAGTTTTAAGAAAGTTCTATGATGCCTCACCTGTCAAGTAAACCTCTAGCAATTTGGGCACAAGTTGACGGTATAGTTCTTCTCAAGGCAGAGGTATACACGTAACCACCTGTATGCGGTATTTTCACTCTATAGGCTAAAGTTCTTGAAGACACCTTTGGGGCCTTATGCCCATGGGGAAAGAAAACAACTGGTGACACAGAAAATGCCAAAGGCTTGAGAATTATGATGGCAGGTGAAAAGGAATTAGTTTTCGTAGGAATGTACAGCTTGTATTCATGAGAGTGAGCTGGGTTACCATCAAAACAGAGCTCTAGAAGCTTCTGAGGACCCTCACACAGGTAGAGTATGACCCATATGTGGAAGTCACAAAGAACACAAAGAACTACCAAAGCTGAATCTTGTAAATGCATGGTAAGTATTTTGTCATCGGAGAGGCCTATACAACTTGAGATACATGAAACCTAAGGCAATCCCAAACCATCCTGGTTTTGCCTTGTAGGGAAAAAAAACCAGGAGGTTTACTGAGCTTCTGTCAGGCCAAAGCACACAGCTGTTAGGTTGCATTAGGCAGGTTTATAATTAATCTTAGTTGCAGAAACCTGCTCCAGGATCAGCAGTCTGATAGCAGCTTTTTGCCAGGGGACATAAAAGGATTTTGTTTTTGTTTGGGGGTTTTTGCCTGACACAATAAAGGACGGTTCCATCAGAGAAAAAAGCAAAAGACAAAGAAAAACCGGTGGATGTTGTACAACAAAACAAATAAGAAACATGCCATATGTTCTGTAAGCAAATGTAACAAAGAGTCTTGTGGAACCTTAAAAGACTAGCACGTTTTACTTTGCATAAGCTTTCTTGGGCTGAAGTCCATGACAACCTATGCAAAATAAAACTAAGATGTCACAAGACTGTTTCTTGTATATGATGGAACAGATTGACAAGATTATTGCTCTAGAAATGGTGACCATTTTATATGCAGAAGCATCTGACTTCTAGCTAAGAAACATCATCCGCACACACTCCCATGAGCTCACCTGCTGTGATGAAAGGACTTCAGCTTTGGCTGCAGCAAAACAAACAGGACAACTAGGAGAAGGACGAGAGCTACTGAACTTGCTGTGGAAGCCACTATGGATAGTGTGGGCACTCCTACACTTGGAGGAGAACCTTTATCTGTAAAGTGAAAACAAAAAGAGTAATTTAAAATGATTTCTCCTTGGGAAGCAGATATTTCCTACTACCAAAGCAAACTCCTCAGTAAACTAGGCTATGGGGAAAAATAGAATTACTGGGGTGTTCCTGCATCATCTTATAAACTTTATTCCCAGCTGTTAGCTCTGCACCCAAATGTATTCAGACATGCAAATAAACAGGACAGAACTGCACTTGCATGTTAACTAAGTGACATTCTCAACACAATTCACAGACAACATCTGCTATCTTCTAGCCATCCAGATCATTTTCCTGTGCTGAGTCAAACTGGTTTCTTGAATGCAAGCCAAAAGTACATTAAAAATCTTTTGGAGTTTATTTTATCCCAGGGGAACAAGGAGTTGGATTTTCTTTTTGTGTTTGTATGACTGAGTCACCATCTCATGGAACACATTGGCAAAATGTTTGGGAAAGTGAAAAGTCAACTCCAAGACAAGTCAGAGCTTGAAAGTGAAGAGACTGCTATATTTTCTATCTAATTAATGCCCTTTTCTTTTGGAAGAAAAAAAGAAGAACCCCACCCCCTTTCCACGTCAAACACTTTTAAAATATGCATATTGATTTCAACATTTCATCCTGTTAGCAGAGGAGTTGTTTTGTTCTCACAAATTTCTGTTCAATTACACACTCTTCTTGTCTGCTCCAATACTTCATGGACAATTAAAACTACATGAGAAACATTTTCCTATAGACCTCTTGGATTTCTGTCATGGGAAAGGAATTCTTATCCAACTGGTGAGAAACCTTGCAAGACTCAACTGTCAAGTTCCTTTGGAAAAGTTATTTTCAAGACAGGCAGAACTAAACAGAGAATGTAATGTATTATGGCAGGCTTGTTGTTGTTACTGTGTGCCTTCAAGTCATTTCCGACTTATGGTAACCTATCATGATGTTTTCATGGCATGTTTCTTTAGAGAGAGCTTGCCATTGCCATCCTCTGAGGCTGAAAGTGTGTGACTTGCCCAAGGTCACCCAGTGGGTTTCCATGGCCAAGAAGGGTTTCGAACTCTGGTCTCCAGAATAACAGTCCATTGCTCAAACCACTATACTACACTGGCTCTACAATCAGACAAAATTAAAACTCCCTTCTCCCAAATTCCCACAATATAATTTATCTGTGCTTTAGGTCTAGGAAGTACTTGTTTTAGGGCCTTTGCAGACTGCCAGAAATAGTGCAAATTGAGTCCACTTTAAGGGTTAGGATTAGTGCTAGGTAATCATGGGAATTGTTGTGTTGTTTTTTTCTGAGACATTGAGCCTTCTCCATCAGAGAGCTCTGGTGCCACAATAAAATACAGTTCCCATGATTGCCTAACCCTAACCCTAACCCTAACCCTTAAAGTGGACTCAATTTGCACTATTTCTAGCAGTCTGCAAAGGCCCTTAGTCTCTAGCATGAATAAGGAACACACAACTTTTCTGATGCTGTTATAGTGCAACTCTCATCAGTCCTCACTAGTGGTTGTACTGGTGAGGACTGATTGTGGAGTTAAAATCCAAAATTTGGAGAACCACATGGAAGTGTTCCTTGGGAATGGATGTAGGGAACATCAACTTAGTAAAGAAGAACAAAGAGGGGAAAAACCTTAGGTTCCACAGTACCTTTCTACTAATTTAAACTGGCTTAAGTATCACCTTTTCTTCAGAAGGAGCCTTGGGAATTGTAGGTTATATGTCTGCAGATGTGCATGCATTCTCATTCACACTCACACATACATTTATGCATGTAAGATTTCTAGCCAAATTTCTGCATCACAATAAATTATAGTTCCCTGGATTCAAAGGGTAGTGACATGGTAGTTAAACTTGTATAAAAGGAGACAAGTTTACAGTGAAAATAATGCCTTTGCTGAAGATTAACAGCATAACTGACCTTGGCTGAGCCTACAGGTAACCTCCATGTCTGGATTCCACTTTCCATTCTTGCAGGTCAAATATTTGTAGTCTCCCTTCAGCAAGTAGCCTTCCTCACATATATATTCTATGACACTGTCAGATGTCAATGGATCTTTACAGGGTGCTGGATGGCATCTGTAGCCTCCATTCTCTGGCTCAGGTGGCTGTGGACAGACTGCTGAGAAAAAAAAAATAGAGCCTATGAAAATAACACCAGGTGACATTTAAGAGCTTGGATTGCAATGTTAGAGGGAGTACCTTTCTGCAGAGACCTCCCTCCATTGGGAGCAATACACCACATGGAGAAAGATTTCTCAGCTACAGAGCCCCAACTGTGAAATATCTATCCCTTGGAGACTGGTGCCAATGATGAACTTATTTGAGGCCAAATTGAAACCTGGCAGTTCTCTCATGTATTTGTGGCCTAGTGAGATTTTAAAAAAAATGATGTCATGATCTGTGGGTTTTATTTTAATTTATCTAATTGTTTTAAAATAATTTTAACTTGCCCTGCGATCAGTTAATACAGTGGGTTCCTTGGTATCCACTGGAGTTTGGTTCCAGCACCCCCCATGGATACCAAAATCTGTGGATACTAAAGTCCCATTATATACAATGGGGTAGTAAGATGATGTCCCTTATATAAAATAGTGAAATCAAGGTTTGCTATTTGGAATTTATACTTTTTTAAAAAATCCAAGCTATAGATACTTGAATCTGTGTGTATGGAGGGACAACTGTATAGCATGGACTCCAAATATTTTAATAAACAATAAAACAGATGTATTCTTTGAAAACAATGCTGGGACACTTTGCAACTTGCAAAAGTATTCTCCCACTCCCCCTTGAGTTTTCAATTACACCTTGGTACTGAAATGGATTTAACTTGCATTGGTACTATGATGTACACAATATACTCAACACTATGAAGACACAAGTAAAATAGACAAAAAGCATATAAGTGATGTAGAAGTTAAATAAAGAAAAACAAATTAGCACTTGTTAGTTGCAGAAGTAGTCAACCTCTTTAAATCAGCTCTGGTAGAACCCATTGTCTCTAGAAGTCACATAAGTAGTTGAATGGCATTTACTTTAGTGCAATTGCACCACCACATGATCTGAGACTGAACACACCTTGAACACCCCAGCGTTTATTGAAGACCACAGAACATAAACAGAACCATGAAGAGCAGGAACGATCAAATCATGTTTGGGATAAAGTTGTGCAGAGGCACCACAAGTAGTGTTATATAAAAAAAGAACCCAAACTACAAACTTCCCCTGGAGTACAGTTAAATCCAATATTACAAAATGGAAAGAATATGGCTCAACTGTGACTCTGTCTAGGCACAGCTTTCCACTAAAACTCAGTGACTGGATATAAGGAGAGCATTAGTCAGAAAAGCAACCAAGAGGCCAAGGGTACTAATGAGATCTGCTGTTGAGAGAAGAAACTATCCATGAGACACAAAACTGTGACAAAAGCCACTACTGAAATAAACCCTTATAAAAGCCCATTTGGAGTTTGCAAAAAGGTGTGTGGCAGATACAGCAAACATATGGAAAGAGGTTCTCTTTTCTGATGAGACCAAAACTGAACTTTTGAGTCTTGTCACAAATCTGTGGTACAAAGCCAACAGTGCTCATCACTCGGATAACAGCATCCCGAAAGTGAAGCATGGACATGGAAGCATGATGTTGTAGCGATGTTCCTCTTTGACAGGGACTGGCAATCTCACTAGGACTGAAGGCATAATAGATTGAGCAAATATAGGGCAATTCTAGTGGAAAAACCTGTTTCAGTCTACAAAGGACATGGGATTGGCGTGTTCATCTTCAAGCAGGAAAATGATCCTAAACACACACCCAAAGTAACACTGGAGTGGTTCAAACAGAAGAGCCTGAATGTTCTGGACTGACCCAGCCAAGGCACAGACCTCATCTGATTGAGAATTAAGGCTTGTAATTTGCTTTTCGCCAACAGCCCCTATCCAACCCGACAAAGGTGGAACAATCCTGAAAAAGAAGAAAGGTGAAAAACAGCAGGAGTCATATATCTGACAGGAACTTTCCTAAGAGGACTTACAGCTGCAACTGCTGCCCAAGATTCTTCTACCAGGTATTGACTTGGGGCGTTTTCATGAAAGTGGCACCAACTTGTGTTTGTTTCTTGTTTACTTACGTAGCTTACATTTTGTGTCATAAGAAATATTTGGCACCTCCACAGTGTTGAGTATCTTGTGTGTATCAAGTGGTAGCAGTGCCAATTAAATCCATTTCAGTTCCATGTTGTAACAGAACAAATTGTAGAATACTTCTACAGGGCATTGTATAAGAAATGAGTGCTATTAAGATACGTAGGAAAGCAAGCACTGAGATACATTGCATTGCAACTGCTTGTGAAATCAAAGCTGAGGAAAGGAGCACGAGGGACAGGTGGAAGGTACAGTATCTGAAGCCACCATGGGTGCCACCTTCACCTCATCTCTTGCTTTCAGACTGCCACTTCTAAAGATTCTTCAGCTGCTGACTGCTAGTCTGCAACCAATACTTTGGAATAATAGCCACGATAATCTCAACTCATCACAATTCTTCTGGAACTAAAAGTCTCCTAGCATGTTCCAATTATAAAATTTCCATTTTCAAAACAGTGAGAAGGCAGAAGGCAATTAAAATTGATGAGACCACAGTAAATGGAATGAGTAGGAAGATATGATAAAGAAAAGGAGGAGAAGACAAGGTACAAAAGTCTTAGGCTATACTCTCATTTAAAGTGTTCACTGATACAGGTTTGAGCTGCTGCCTAACAGTAAGAGCTGTCACTCAGAATCCAAGGCCGATAAGAGGCCAAGACATGTACTTCATATAGCAAGCACTCATGACAATGAGAATTAATTCATCACCTCATCTGCCCTTGCTGAGCTGAACATAGAATGTTATTTTAGTGTCACAGCCATCCTGGGAAGTGTGTTACCTAAGAACAGTGATTTAGCTGAGGTCAACCAGCGAGTTTCTAGGCTGAGAGGGAATGTGAATCTGTCCCTGGTTTCCCATAACAGTATGTACACATATCCTGCCCCGTAGAGCAAAAATCAGTATTGCAAAGCAATTTCAAGTGAAAAATACAGCCAACAGGGAAAAGATTAAGTTCACTCTCCCCAGTTGCTCCTTTGATTATTTATTTTCAGAAAAGCATATTTACATGCAGTATGTTGCTTGCCTCCTCAGAGTGCAATACATAAACGGCATGACAAATATTTTGTTAATAGCCCAAACCAGGGGTGGGCAACGACGGCGGGTGCCATTTTGGAATGCTCAACGGTGCCGTGTGCATGCCAAAATGGCGCCCTCTGTGCGTGTGCACACGTGTGCGCACACAGCGGTCGGCGTCATACACATGCATGGGGGCAAGTGCGCGCATGCGCAAGTGCGCCCGCTGGCCACTGGCGCCATTCTCCCTCCAGCCAAAAAAAGTTGCCGACCCCTGGCCCAAACTATACCTCAGCAACAGGCTTTCTTTAGGGATTAAACTGTAGCTATTAATAATTCATAAATCTGGCCACCTGTTTGTTCAAATGTTTGTTTTTCAATCTAAAAAGAGGATGGACAACTTGTTGCCCTCCACATATTGCTGGAATTATTCATCATCCTTCAACATCAAATCAGCTAGAGCTGATAAGCCCTGCAAAGCAAAAACATCTGGAGGATCACAAATGGACCATTCCTAGCCTATAGTGGTTCTATGCTAGGAATCATAGCAAGGGAGGTCAATATAATGTATTATTTATTCACACATTGCAACATAGTAAGTCTGTTCTGACAAAAGCACTAATCTGTTGCACAATTAAGAGAGCCAGTGTTTTGAACGCTAATCTATGGGCTCTGGAAAGTCTGGTGTTAGACTCCACACACATGGAAACCCACTGAGTGACCATGGGCAAGTCACACTCTCTCAGCACTCTTTGAATAAATCTTGTCACGAAAAACCTGTTGCCGTAAGTCAGAAACAACTTGAAGGTACACAATACTCACACATGCTGCACCATAAAATTTATTTGGGGGACAAGAATAACTGGTCACAGCTACATCTATGGCTGAAGTAATTTAATGGTTCTGAAATGCATTTTTATTGATATAAAAGCCAGAAAACAAATTTAACCAA